GGTTTTATGAAATAAGTGCGCAAATGAATGATTATTACTTATGATTGCAGGTGTTATCCCTGTTTTGGAACGTAAACATTGGATTCTCGTCGAGCTTCAGCTCCCATCCCTTAAGACAATAGTGTATGACAGCATGATAAATTACATATCATTGGCTGATTTAAGAGATGTTATTAAGGGATGGAGCTCTCATTTGGCTAAATTCTTGGATGCGATCAATTATTGGACTCGTTCTGGAAACAAGAAGCCAAAGAAGCTCAATATTACAGTTATTAGAGACGAGACCGCGCCACAACAAACGAGCGGAGCCAAGAGGAGATTGTGGTCCTCTCGTATGCTTGGCGTTGGAGCGTTTGACGACGGGAAGCATCAAGTATCTACCTCCCACCGATAGAGATAAGCTGCAGTAGGCTTGTGGTTTCGGCATTATATGGCTAATCGTATATACGAGACGCTGCCTACCTGCATCCGCGTTATAAAAATGTCCATAAACAATTGGTAAGTTTATATACTTTGGTTTGAAAATGTTTGGTTAAGTAACTAGAATTCAATAATTTGCTGTTTGTAGGTTTAGATGTGTAGAAAGTGTTGTTTGAACAAATGTTTGGTTTCTGCAGGTTAATCTCAGAAGTGAACTGCGTGAAAATGATGTCGAGCTGCAAAAGTTGATTCAATAGTTTAATTGATTGTTTTTTGATTGTTTAATTGATTTGTAAAAGTTGATTCAATAGTAGATGATCGGAAATAAGAATTATTGCTTATTTTTTGATTGTTTAATTGATTTGTAAAAGATGATTTGTAAAAGTTGATTTGTGTAATTGATGCGAACATAATTCTTATTTGTGCTTGTTTAATTGATTGAAATGTAATGGTTGATTTTGTTGATTTCAATCTGCATTATGTTGAAGGCAAAAATGACTATCGCAATGCGAAATGAAAATCGCAATGCGAAAATGAAAATCGCAATGCGTTTATAATTTCGCATTGCGATTCTCTCGTTGCGATTTTCATTTCGCATTGCGATTTTCATTTCGCATTGCGATTCTGTCGTTGCGATTTTCATTTCGCATTGCGATTCTGTCGTTGCGATTTTCATTTCGCATTGCGATTTTCATTTCGCATTGCGATTTTCATTTCGCATTGCGATTTTCATTTCGCATTGCGATTCTGTCATTGCGATTTTCATTTCGCATTGCGATTTTCATTTCGCATTGCGATTCTCTCGTTGCGATTTTCATTTCGCATTGCGATTTTCATTTCGCATTGCGATTCTCTCGTTGCGATTTTCATTTCCGCATTGCGATTTTCATGTTGGGATTTTCATTTCGCGTTGCGATTGTAATTTCCGTGTTGCGATAGTCAAATGCATGCCTAATAGTGATAACAACTGAATAACAAGAGTTGGTTAAGTCAAAATGGTTGGCCTGAGTCATTAATTCAACTGAAAATGTTAAAAGTTCACACATAAAATCCACATAATACAACGTTTGCATTTAAAAATCACCTAAGTTAACAGTCCCAAAAGGTGAACCAATTGTGATTGGGATTTTGAAGATGGTTGCCTTTTGCTTGACACCATATGAGCTTTGGATTTTGATGAGGATCCATATTTTGGTAGAGGAAAAGATGATTTTGATGGCACTGGTGATCCACATGTCAACCTTGTATGACCACTTTCCTTGCACCGACTACATGTCGATCTCTTCTTCTCTTCACCCTTAGACGGTATACGATCGTGACTTTTTGGTCGGCCAGGTAGCCTTCTGTCCATGGCTGGTGGCAAAACGTTTGTAAGTCATCTGGTATGTCCCACTCAGAAGGATGTGGAATAGGGTAGACAATCTCGGCATAAGTCTGTCGATAAACTTCTGTAGTGTAGCAATCCATAGCGTATGCGCTTGAATCATCTTGGTTTAAATGAAGAGCAAACATGGCCACACGGATAACCAGATGTTTGCCATTTCATACAACTACACGTCTTTGCATTTAGATCGACTAGCCCATTTAAGTTATTATCCAGTACTTGAAACAAAGTGTTTGAACATGGTTCAACTCTCCATGACGTTGACTTCACAACACGTTTCGTTATCTTTTTTTCAGTCCATGGTGTAACACGATGTTCCAATGTTCCTGTAAATTTAAATAAACAATACTTAGTAAAATATAAATATGATAAGTTACGAATTCAAAGAAATAATACCTGCATGGTTTCTTTTCTTGTAGTACCACTGTTGAATAGAGGCTCGAAAAAACTCCATTAACATAGTAATGGGTAATTTCCGGGAATGACGACTTAGAGCGTTGATTGATTCTGCACTATTAGACGTCATGAAACCATATCTTGCTCCAAGTTGATGTACTCTTGACCATCTTTCAAACCCGACATCTTCTAGTGTTTGAGCACACTGAGGCAAAACACGTCTTAAACAATTTATATGCTTATTGAAATCCACTTCCCGATAAGCTTTTACAGCCTTCCAGTATGTCCATTTGTGCTTTTTTATACCAGCAGACCTTGATTTTAGATTTCTATACAAATGAACACCACAAAGTCCATGAAAAGCATCTGGGAAACACCTTCTAACAGCGTTGTCAATGAGTTTGCCCTATCGGATATGATTGTCAGATTGCTAATAGGACCTATGCAATCCCTAAGATGCCCCATAAACCATGTCCATGAATCAGAGGTTTCAGATTTGCCAACCCGTAAGCTATTGGCAATATCCCATTGTTAGCATCCATGGCTACTGCTAATAAGTTTACTCCAAGGTATCGACCTTTCAAATGTGCTCCGTCAACTATAATAACTGGGCGCATGCAAGTAATAAACGAACGAATCTACAAAATAATATACACAAGAAATATAATCATTTAAATGTGAAATGCATGTAACTAACAAAATGAGTCAACAAAATTATATTGATTTACTAACCGTAGCACCAATGGCGATAAACAGCAACTCAAAGCGTCCATCTCTATCTGTTTGATATGAGTTACGACCCAGGATTTTTCAGCTTTAAATTGTGACAATAAGCGGCAGTTGGGCAAACGATGCTTCTGGCGACCCCCTCAACAATTCCAAGGCATAACATTTGGCTCTCCAAGCTTGAGAATATGATATACTAATCTTGAACCGAGCATTCATGTCAGTCATAATTTCATGTCCCCGATATACCCTGCCATTCAAAAACATTAACTCAGCCAGAAAACCACCCAACACCTTTTTGTTTGCCTGTCTATGGTGAGGAAAAACTTGGGTTCTTGAACATGTATGTTTATCAATAAAAGTCCTAACTTGAAACATTTTGCAATCTTTTATTCTCTTTGCAATCATACGCCACGTACAGTTTTTGTCAATCATACACCTTGTTTCGAAACGATCTTTGCTTGATTTGTTAACTTTTAGTTGATAGCCATCTTCCACACATTTCGTATACAAAGCTATCTTCAAGTCTTCCTTTGTATCAAAACAATCATCTTTCTTGACACGAATAACTTTTGTGTAACAATCAACTGCTTTCTTTGCCAACTCTTCTTCCGGTAACTGAAGTAATTCTGGCATATTCCAGTTATACTCCCGTGGCATTTTCTTTTCTTCGGGGACTTTTTCTTCTTCTTTTTCTTCTTCAGGATTATATGAATTACAGAATGGATGTTCAACATGTTCATTCACAGTCGTAACTTCCTCCTCATTATCATCAACAACATCTTCCTCGGCAACGGGTGTTTCATCATCAAAATTCGGGTATTGACCAATATTAAAATCATTACACACATGGTCTGTTTCTTCTTCTGAAACATCATCAAAATCCGTGTATTGACCAATATCAAAGTCCGGATATTGACCAAGACCAAATTTCGAATACTGACTAGTACTCACAATTTTTTCTGTTGGCTCATCATCGTCTAACTGGTCAATACGAAAACCGGAATTTGGTGCTGAAAGTTGATTGGGATTTGGATTAGAGAAAGGTTGTGGGTTTTGAGAAAAACTTAGTTGATTACTACCCGCTACTGACCCAACAATACTACTTCTAGGTTCAACAACATACAATGTAACATCATCTTGTGAAACACTAATGTAAGCAATGAATCGTTCAACATCTTCATTGTCGGTTAACAAATAAACTTTACATTTCTCTGATAAGATAGCCTAAATCCACTTAGGGGCTCTAAATTCAATTTATTTGAAACACGTAGCATTAGAGTTTCATAAGTTAACTTTTGTAAAGACAATTTTAGTTGAAGATTCATGGTAAAGGCATATATTGTAAAACACCATGAACATTATCCCATGACCTCCAAAACACAAATCTATCCAAACATGATCAACATTAGATGATTTCATGGTTGTAAATTAATTTACTAAACAGACGAGCTGCGAAACTAAAACCTGTTGCCGGATTGGGAAGGATGTCGTTGGATATAGGAACGGATGTCGCCGAGAGAGTGATAGATGGAGATGGAATGAGTTGCGATTTAGGGATTTAGTTTATGATTTCAGTGTTATATACCCAAAATTTCAGTGTTGTGATTTACAGATTCTCGTTGCGATTTACGGATTATCGTTGCGATTTACAGATTCTCGTTGCGATTTACGGATTATCGTTGCGATTTACAGATTCTCGTTGCGATTTACGGATTATCGTTGCGATTTACGGATACGCGTTGCGATATACGGATACGCATTGCGATTTACGGATACGCGTTGCGATATACGGATACACGTTGCGATTTATGTGTTCGCGTTGCGATTTTCATATTCGCGTTGCGATTTTGGAAAATCGCAATGCGAATTTGTACTATCGCATTGCGATTTTCAAGAATCGCGTTGCGATTTTGGAAACTGATTTGCGATTCTGGGGATCGCGTTGCGATTTTTATTTCGCGTTGCGATTTTGTTGGTCATTTTGGCAAATCCAAAAAAAGTTGGTTAAAATCGTATATTATAACTTTTTTTTGGTCACTGAGGTGATTTTCTCTTATTTAAATAAAGCTACTTCTCATTACAGATTAGACTTCATATCTAGAGAACTGTATCCTTCAGCTCTTCCAAAGAAGTGAAGAAATACCATGAATTTTAAAGCCACAAGGGATTTCTTCACACATGATTCTTTGTTAGTCAAATATCTGCATGGAGCAGTTTAAAATTCAGCAGATATTATGATATATATATATATATAGGAACTGAAAGGGTAAAAATGTAAATAATATGGCATGTTAAACTCCAACCCAGAAAACTAGCAATGTCCTATGTCAATGACTGGAAAAGTATTTGAATAATTTCTGTTTTATGTTTTAGCTTTAGTTAAAGAACTGAATCTTTTTATTTTCTACATTTTCTTAGATAAGATAACAAAAATGAGAATGGATCTTCTTTCTTTTAACAATTAGGGGTTATGCATTAAAATAGGGGGAAAAACTTTTTTCCTAGAAATCCCTCGACCTTCCATCACAGTCACAGGTATAAACAAATAAAGAAAAAAACATATATTTATTTCATATCAAAATTGAGAACTCATTTTAGCATAGATCTGAATTATCTCTTACTTGATCAGTATCGGGTAGGAATCTCTCTAAGTTCCCGTTTAATGCATAAGTATTCACCTAGTAAAGCCATCACTGCAACTCCAGTACCATTCACAACCCACTAGGTAACAGAGGAAGGCCAACCTCCATATATAAGGCATATGAAAAGATGGATAATATAGAGGGTTTCTGAAAAATCTAAGCACTTCTTTGCCCTTTCAATCAAATAAATCATGTACCCAGCTCTGCATAGATCCAAATGAAACAAAAACACAAGTTAAAATGAGCTAATTTTAGAAAATAACTAGATTATTTGTACAATATACTTCCAAGTTTTAATGGAGGCAATATCATCATATAAGTAATATTTAACTCTGGCCAATTAATTCATAACTAAATGACTTGGGCAAAAATAACAGATTCAATGACTTGGGCAGGGAGGTTAATTACTTTCAAGCTTAACTACAATATCCTAAAAAATAGTTTGACTCGATCAACTTTGCATTTCAGCTTCGAAAAGCATGTGCAGAGATCTCTAAATCCTAGTTTTCAGTATCATAAATAGTCATAAAAAAACTAATGACAGACCATTATTCAACATCGCAAGTGTGCAATATAATATGTATGTATCCCCTAGACCAGCCTATGTGTCACGACTAAGTCTAACGAATTACATCAAAACTTTTCAAAAACATTCTCAAGCCCTTTTAAACCCAAGTAATACAAAACATAATAATAAAAAATATTTCAATAAGTTAAAATCCGAGTGATGGTAATATAAAGCATCATGCCCACGTGCGAAATACCAAATAACTAGTATCGTAGAAATTCATATAACAGTGTAAAACATAACATATCATATAATAAGTATAACAAAATATAAACACGTCACCCATAATAAGATAATCTGGAAGATAGAAATATTACAACAAAAAGTATGGTACGGAATGTGTATATCCTCCAAGTGCCAGCTCTGGGATGCATATTCCAAAGTATCTGAAAGGGGAAACTTTTGGGGTTGTGAGCTAGGGAGTTTAGTGTGTTACAGTAAGTGCAAAGTCAAAATATACGAATAAGTTTCAAAATCAGTTCTTTAGACACCCATTTTTGTCCGGCTTCTCATTTCCTTATTAATTTATTATTATTATTATTATAAATAAAATATACTAATATATAATATTTTTATATTTTACAGGTCCAGTATAAAAGCCCAAATTACAAATCCCAAGCCCATTACAAATAGCCCAAACAAATGACCAAATACCACAACCCACTATAATGGATTACAACAGCCCACCCGGTTTCAGCCCGATCGAAGCCCAATTTCAAGGCCCAAATAGTTGACCCATAACCCAATTAGGGTTTTATCTCAAGCTATGTGCTGCAGCCCCCTCATCCACTCGATCTGGACTCATCCAACGGTCCAGATCAATGATATTTAGGGTTTTTAAAACCCCAACCCAAAAGAAAAGCCAGCAACTGCCATCAAGGGATCTAGATCGTATGATCTCGAGCGTGTGATGCACGCGCCGGCTTTTGACTTCCCTCACCACGTGAGTCATCGAAAATGAATCCCGAAGCCGCCGTTATCATCAGGCTTGCCAAACAATGACACTCATACTCTTTTTTCTCGGTAATACAAGAACAAATCAAGTCTTCATCAAGCCATCACATGCAAGATAAAAAGGAAAAAGAGAAAGAACAAAAAGGAACGAGTTTTCAAAAATAGAGAAAAAAAGAAAGATTTCGAACGAAAAACAGAGAGATCGAATACAAGAAAAAATAGAAGAGAGGACAAAAATATATTTACCTTAGTTCGTAGCATGCTGGAATCCCAAAAGGTCGTCAGTTTTCAAAGTGTTCAAAACGTAAAACCTAGATCTAGGTTTCTAGGGTCGGTTTTAGGCTAGAAGGTGCTAAGAATCGGGTGGAGGAAGATAAGAGGGGTATTCTGGGGCTTTTCTGCTTTATTCGGCCACCGCAAGTGGTCGTGACCGCCGCCGTGAGCCACCGTGAGTGTCACCAGTGATAGGCGGCTCCCTCTCTCCCGATGAGGGAAGTTGAGAGAGTTTGGGGAACTCTCTCTCTCCCTTTTATGAAGCAAGGAGGCAAATGAGGGTGATAACCCTTTTTGGCTTAAGTGGGAGCCATATATACCTTCCCTGAAACGACATCTTTTATGGAAGGATTAGAGGGCATTTTTTAGCGCGTGGGATATTTGCACTTTGGGCACTCCATCTTTTGTATTGATTTATTTTAGCCATTAATTGAAATCTACTGATATTTTACTTTCGGCATTTAGTTTCATACGTTTATATTTAAGCCACTGATCCCATATGTTATATTTTTTTGTTAATGTTCGAATCTGGCCATGATATTTGAGAATCTTATCTTTTTAGTCATTATTTAGTATGAATGTTTTAGGTATAATTATCATTTACTCTTTCATGTTTCTGGTTTAATTTATTTTAGTCCTTAACATTATTTATGGGTTATTTTCATTTTTGGTACCTATATTTGTTTAAAATGTCCATTGGGGCTCTGGTTTGTTCATAATTGTTGTTAGGTTCTTCAAGTTTCTGTTAGTGTCATTTTGGTCCCTTAAATTATCGAATGTACTTATTTTTGTTTGTATTTTGATATGTAACGTTTTCTTGTTTGTATTCTAGTCCTTTATGTGTATATATTTTGCATATTATGTATTTATATGTATTGTATTAAATAAATATTATTAGCCCTATTTGTTGTAGATATTGTATTCTATACATTTCAAATAGCATTTGTTTCTATTGTATTTCTTTATCTATTAATATTACTTGGATATTTTCAAGAACATTATTTGTAGAATGGGCGTTGAAAGCACTGCTTGGTTGAAGTAGTGCGATCAGATACAACATTCGAACGAAATATGAACTTCAAATAAATCGGATTTATTTTTATAAAAATAATAATCAATTCGTTTTTTTACTCAAATAATGCAATACATGTTTCTATAAATAACAATTTATTTTATTTTATGCAAATGTCTATGTTCAATCTATATTCAATTTGTGTTTTTTTAATCAAGAAGAGAATATTCTTTTAGGCAAGAAATAAGAAGAGATAGCTTTCCGTCGGAGGATGAGCGAATCTCGATATTTCTTTTCGAATTAAAGGATTTTCCCTAATAAATAATTCGAAGCGAATTAATTCAACTTTAATAAATGGATCATATTATAACTTTATATTCGATCTATACTTTCCAACATTTAAGATGATATGTAAGTGATTAAGTACCAATTTTGGGCGTTGTGGGGGTGCTAATCTTTCTCCACACGTAATCGACTCCCAGACCCATTAAATCGGATTTTTGGTAAACGCAGACCAATTTTTGTCTTTAAAACAATTTTTCCTTAAAATTGTTTTAAAAGACATTTTTAGGTATTTGACCTACCTAGCTCAAAGGTCGATGACGACTCCCATTCAATTTAATTCAAAATCTCAAATTTTCAAATAAAAGTCATAATTATTTTTTTAAACTTAATTTTTTTTTCAAAAAAATGGTTATGACAAGTTCAGAAGTATGAAAGTGACAATAGAGTTTTTAGAAAAATAATTTAATTACCCTCCAACTGTACACCATATGCAATTCCTCATAATTGCATCCATAAGGACTTACCCTAGGCCCATTGTAGCTAGGAGCCAACCTAAGGAACACATTGGGTCCATAAGGACTTACCCTAGCCGAAGCGTAGGAGCCACCTGAAGGGAGTGCTAACAGGTCCTAAGGATTTACCCAATGCACAAAACAAAAGAATTACCCTAAGCGAGTGCCTTATGGTCCATAAGGTCTTACCACTAGGCCCATTAGGCCTAAGAGCCCACGCAAGGTCCTGATCGAGGTTAAACCAGTAGAACTCCATATCACATCCCAATACCCTAGTAAAACAGTTTCAGACAATTCCAGTAAAATCAGTATATAATAAATCAGACATAATTATTCTCAGTAAATGTTAGAAACCAGAGAACACATATCATTCAAACAGATGAAAACAATAAAACATAATTCAGTAATACAGATTGAGAGAAGCTGGGATAAGCTGATGAGCGATCGGGAGTCTCGAGTACCTTTAATTATTAATAAAATAAATCAGTCCTTGTCCTTCAATTAATTACACTTAAATAAAATAATTGAATACATATGCATGTTCGAGATTCAATGCTCGATTTGAGGGTTTTCAGGTTAGAATTTGGCAATACGAACTTTGGATTTGGATTCAGGACGTCGAAAAGCATAAAATATGACCTTTTGAATTGGTCAAAGTCAACGGTGCGTCAAAGTCAATGGTCTGCGTCAAAATCAACGGTCCAAAAAAAGTCAACAGTTCAGACCGGTTCAAGTTGACTCAATGACTCGGTTTCTAGAAGGTTTAGGTTCGACCAAGCAGCCCAACGCGCAGGGGCGGCGCGTGGCTACGCGTACCATGGCCAAATGAAGCAGAGACGACGGCCGATTACTCCCCAAGCCTTCAATCAGCATTTCAACGCAGATACAAGCCAAAATTAACTAATTAAACGAAAAAATAATTGGAAAAGATGATTGAAGCTCAACCACGAAAACGATGGGGATGGGGATGGAGATGTCATCAAACTTCGTAATCGGCGCGAAAACAAGAAAAGGCTCACTGCGACTGCTGGTTTAGTCAACACATTCGAAGGTCGATTAACGGAGAACGGCAACGAATCTCGACACGATGTTAGAGGGGTTTTGGTTGCGAGTAGACGACGAGAACTGTAGGAGTGGAAGTGTCGAACACGGACGATGGGAGGCAACGAAAATAGGAATGGCAACGGGGCGGGTTCAGAGGGTTTTGCTCCCCCCGTCCCCGTCCTTGAAATAAATCCTGATCCCCGTCCCTGCCCCGATCCCCGTCGGGTTTTTATCGGGACGCCCCGTCGGGGATTTTTGTTACCCGAACCCGACCCGAAATGTTATACCTGAACCCGAACCCGACTCGATCCCGAGAAAAACCATATTTTTCATTAAAAAATAGAAAAATAAAAAATATTATATATAATTAATATAAAAATTATAAATAATTATATATAATTAATATAAAAAATATTATATATATAATTAATATAAAAAATAAAAAATATTATATATATATATATATATATAATCGGGGTGGGGCAGGGATATCTTGCCCTAAACCCGAACCTGAAAAAATCCTCAAATTTTACCCCAATACCCGACTCAACCCGATATTATTCAAACCCGACCCGACCCGAACTTGATCGGGTTCGGGTCATTCTGCCATCCCTAGGCGAAAATCGTCAGTGAACGACGTCGGGGAAGGTTTGATAATTTTAGGGATTTGAAATTTAGGGCTCAGGTTGGATCTAATTTAGGAAAAAAAATTAGAGATGATTTGAAACTAAAATTTTGAAATAAAAAAATTGAATAGTACCTTAGCTATTTAGTCTAGGCATGGTAGCACGTGGCGATTTTCCCAAAAATCACATTTTCAAACTTTATTTCCCTGTCAGACACCTTTTCATTTTTATTTCTCAATCTAACACACTTTACAGGAAGGCGCGACCCATGCACCGCGCCTTACGTTACTGCGACGCCACGTGGGGTAAGGCGCGACCCATGCACCGTGCCTTGTGAAACGTGTAAAAAAATTGGGTGTTGGTTTTGTAAATATTTTTAACATTGTGTCTAATATGTAATTAATTTATATTAAGGTGATATTTGTGTAAAAACATCAACTTTGTTTATTTATTTTTTTGTGTGTGAACAAAAAACTTTCTACATTAAAATCTTTAAATATTCTTTTGCAAAGTATTTTATAACTCGATAAATTTTGATTTTTACATGAAATTACACAATACGTATAATCTAGTATAGGAAAACTTTGAGGGTAAATATTTTAAAATATGATTAATTTTATAACTAGTATTTCTTTTACAAAATGATGATGATGACAATAAATATTTTATAATTTTAAAAAAAAAAATCATATATTTTTGAAAAATTTATTGACTTTTAAAATTAATTGTTTAAAAATAGAAAAAAAATATTAAAATAAATTTTTAATTACAATTGAGGGATCAAATTAATTATAATTCATTAATTATTATTTTTAACAACAGTTAATAATGTTTATTTATTTTTAATAAAATTATTTTGATTTTTGCATGAAATTACACAATACGTAGAATCTAGTATAGGAAAACTTTGAAGGTAAGTATTTTAAAATATGAATAATTTTATAAAAGTTTTATAACCAGTATTTCTTTTACAAAATGATGATGATGATGATGATAAATATTTTATAATTTAAAAATTATAAATTTTATATATTTTTGAAAAATTTATTGACTTTTAAAATTAATTGTTTAAAAATATAAAAAAATATTAAAATAAACTTTAATTATAATTGAGGGATCAAAAGAATTATTATTATTAATTATTATTTTTAACAACAGTTAATAATGTTTATTCATTTTTAATAAAATTATTTAAAAATTTTCATGAAATTACACAATACATATAATCTATTATAGGAAAACTTTGAGGGTAAGTATTTTAAAATATGAATAATTTTATAAAAGTTTTATAACCAGTATTTCTTTTACAAAATGATGATGATGATGATGATAAATATTTTATAATTTAAAAATTTATAAATTTCATATTTTTTTGAAAAGTTTATTGACTTTTAAAATTAATTGTTTAAAAATATAAAAAAATATTAAAATAAACTTTTAATTACAATTGAGGGATCAAATGAATTATTATTAATTAATTATTATTTTTTAACAATAGTTAATAATGTTTATTCATTTTTAATAAAATTAAAATTTAATATTTATTTTATATTTTTTAAAATTAATATTAGAAAAATGGTCCCTCAATAAAGAGGTGATATTTTTTAGCTTCACATTCTTTTTTTATTAAATTTTATTCACTTTTAATTCTTTTTTTATTTTATTTTTATTGATTTTTAAAAAAATGAATAATAATTCATTTGATCTTTCAATTGTAATTAAAAGTTTATTTTAATATTTTTATATTTTTAAACAATTAATTTTAAAAGTCAATAAACATTATTAAATGTTGTTAAAAATTAATATCACAAAAAAAATAAAGTTGACGTTTTTATACAAATATCATTGTAACATAAATTAATTACATATTATGTATCATTTAAAAAATATTTACAAAAATAACACCTGATTTTTTATACATTTCACATGGCGCGATGCTTGGACCGCGCCTTCTGTCACGTGGCGTAAGGCGCGGGCGCGCCTTCCTGAAAAAATTGTTAGATCAAAAAATAAAAATAATAAGATGTTTGACCGGAAAATAAAGTTTGAAAGGATGATTTTTGAGGAAAATCGACGTAGCAAACGACACTCTTCAAATATCATTAAATTCTTTTTTTTCTTTGCAGAGAGAGGAGGAGCAAATCTGAGGATGGGTCCCTGTACTCCAAAAAGTTTCGAAAACTACCCTAAATCTTCATATTCTTACAACCAGGTTCCCAAAATTAATTCAATAAATTAAATTAAAGACAAATAAATTAGGGGTGTTACAATGTAGATCAAAGCCAGTCCGGAAACCTATATCCATTAATAAATAAAAAATGGGGATTATTTAGTTTAATCAAAAGCAACTGTAGGTGTTATGAGGTACACAGCAAGAGTTAGGCCATAGTTGAACAAAATAAGAGTTAACTTCAATGCTACCATTCTTTTATGTCTACAATCATTCATATTCAAGCAAATCTAAGTAATTAGTATATCCAAAAAGCATCAGATAGAAACTAACCATTTCTTATATAAATGCATTCACAAGGTAGGCATATAATCATACAAATGAAGCACAGATAAAAGTCGAGGCGGGAACAACTATATTCTCAGTTTCTCACCCTGCATAGCGCAAGCAGAAACGAAGCAATGGCACACCAGCCGACAAGGGTGGAGCATGTAAGAGTATAGAAGTCAAAGAAATAGACCAAGCTCATACGAGAAACTTGAGTACCAACAAGAAAGGACAACAAGACTCCAAGAGTGAGGTAGTATAAGCATTGGAGGCAAACAATTTGGGCTACCATAAGCCAACGATCCCATACCATCGCCCCATAGAACATGACTGCAATTTGAATTAACCCTTTCAATTCCCAAATACCTGAGGTCAGCAAGAACCTCAAAGAATTTCCAAAACAGCCACTCAGTAAGACTTTAAATGTTACTTACATCCAAGGGTCAGATCCTAAAAAAATTGGATCCATTGAATCGAATACAAATCCTTACAAAATTAGATGGACCAAACCTTTTGAAAGGAAAAGAAAAACCCAGCTTTTAAATAAGGAAAATTCAATGTTAAAACTAAGTTTGGTGTTCAATTTTTTCACTTTGTAATGTACCCAAAATTGAGACTCGGTGAATTCGGATCTGGTAAATCAACAAGTCCGGAGGGGAACAAACCCGAATCTGATAAGAAACACCGGCTGTTATTTCTTAGATAAATAATATATACATATATCCCAATTCCATCTGACTTATATAAACTGAGATTTTGGTTCAAAGAACTATAAACGCTTGACACAGCAATTAGAAGATGAAAGAAAAAAAACAAGAGAGAGAAAGAAATTGAAGATTAAATACTGAACATCAAGATGGATACAAGAGAAAATGAGGAACCGTTTAGCTTGACGAATTCTGCAATTTTTGTTTTCCCAAAACTTCTTTTTCAATTCAAAGAACTATAAAGGCTTGACACAGGAAGAACTCTCTTCGGAGAGAGATCGCAATGAAGGTTTGAATAAATTTTTATTAATATAAAAATTAAAACTAAATTTACATTTTCTTTCTTTCCTGTTTTAGGTTCAATTTTTATTAACAAATTATTTCGTTCAATTTGTCGTGGGTTCGATTCGAGAACAATTATCCCAAAAAAATGCCCAAATAGGGAAAGACCTGTAAAGCTTGGTTTTTACTTTTTATAAACTAGTTGAATAAGAGATTAATTTTTTTTTAAAAAAAATACACTCTATGCCATGCATATGCATTGTCAATATGGCCTTTAAATTTTGATGTATTTATATTCAAGTTTGATTGTCCCAAGTATATTTCAAACATTTTAATTCAAGAACTCATTTTTAGTAATTTATATATTATGTTTGAATTCAACAACAATACTTTTATTAAGACTATTTGATGGGTTCAATTAATTATATTATTTAACACTTAAATGATTTTTATTATAACTGTTAAATAATGCATTGATTTTTGAAGAATCAACTATGTTATTTTTACTCATATTTACAATTGTGAAGTCGAATTTTAAATAGTGTTATCGAACATGCAAAACTCTGATGCTTTGCCATTTAAGATTTGTACATGCACAAGTAAATTCCTTAACTAGCTAGGTAGCATACTCGATGTCAGATTTATATAACAATACAATGATATGGCTAAAAATTATCAACCAACAATCAGATCCATGATGAGAATATATCAGAGCTCAGGGTGGTTACCGGTGAACCTCATTCAGAGCTACTTTTTCTCCTCCTGGTCGTTTTCCTCACAGTGGTTGTAGCTTTCGGTTTAGCTTCACTTTCACCTTTCTGCTGAGGCTTATCGTTAACCGGAACTTCGGACGAATTTATTTGACTCCTCAACCGTAGTATTTCTCCCTTAGCAGATGCCAATTCGTCCTCGAGTTTTTTCACTTGCTTTACCAAACTATCCCTTTCCTTGCCGAGTGACATCACAAGCTTATGAGCATCTTCCATATTTTCTCGGGCTTCTTTAGATGCATTCTTCTGCTCTGTGAGTGTTTTATAGAGAACCATTTTCTCATCCTCGAGATCAGATATTTTAGCATTAGCACTTTCGAGATCTTTAGAAAGTTTTAATATATTTTGATTCACCTCATCAAGTGACTTGGTAGCCTCTTCCAGGTCCGTTTCAAGTGATTTTCTTGCTTCCTTGTCCTTTGAGATCTGCTTCTCCAAAGCCTGGAGTTCTTTCCTTAAAGAAGAAACAATCACTTTCTCTTCTTTCAAATCATTGGCCGTGGTTTCTGCCTTTTTAAACACATCCACCAATTCCCTTTGAAGGCTGTCGCGGTTTTCTGTCATAGAAGTCAGCTCATTAGAAGAAATCTGCAGTTCCTCCCTAGTTTTCTTCAGAAGCTCTTTTGCAGCTGTGAGCTCACTGGCAAGAACTTCGCCACTTTGTTTTGCCTTATCAAGGCTACCCTGCAGTCTTACTTTAGCTTCATCGAACTCAGACCTGACCTTTGAAATCTCAGACTCGAGTTCGTTACAATGCGTTCTTGAGCTCTTTAGTTGCTCGAACAGGTCAGAAGCCTCAATTTTGGACTTTGCAATAGTTTCCTCGGCAATTAGTAGTTCTTCTTTCAGGTTCATTACAAGTTTCGATTCCACCTCAAGTGCTTTCTTTAGGTTTTCTTTTTCCTTGTTCAAATCCGCAACAATTGCTTTGTTTTCACTTACATATTTTAGGGCAATCTCAAGTTTTTCCTTCAGCTGGTGAATTTCTTTTTCTCTTTCCCCCAAAAGCTTAGCATCTGCTGCAGCCTTATTTTCAGAAGCCACTTCCAGATTATTGTAATCCTCGTGAAGAGCACCAAATTCCTGCCTAGAATTATCTCTTTCAACAGTTAACGAGCTTATCCTTGCATTTAATTCATCCACTGTAGAATTTTTCAATTCAAGTTCACTTTGATTTCTCAGCAGTTCTTCTTTCAAACCTTCAATATCGGAACTTGCTTGCTCTATTTCTTCCTTAGTTTTCTTGTAAGTAGTTTCATGGTTCTTTAACTCTGATTCTTTTTCAGCAAGGCATGAGATGAGCTTTTGAATGTGACCTTCCTTATCTTTGAGTTCTGAACTGAGCAAGTTAACTTTTTTTTGTAGGACATCAACAAAATCAAGCTTTTCCTTCAGTTCTAGTACAAGAGATCTTTTTTCGTCCCTGGCCTTCGAGAGATTGCTTTGAAGAGTGTCTATTTGAACTTTAAGGTCCTGAATTAACCTTTTCTCATTTTTAAGTTCCTGCCCTAAGCCTGTAATTGTATTGTTAGCTGAATTTAGTTGATCCAACAAAGACAGTTGTTCTTCCTTTGCTTTTTTGAGTTGCTTGGTTTGTTCTTCACTTTCTTTTAGCAGCTTTGATTCGAAGTCTTTTTTCATTGAGACAATTGCAGCTTCTTTTTCTTGCAATTTGATCTTTATCTGTGTGTACCAATCAATGCAAAATTAATTTAAACAAATCCATGGTAATGCAAGTCGAAATTAATTAAGAAAGGCAAAACACTACATAAAGCGGAAAACACATAAAGAAGTCTTTGATCTCTAATCTTTCGCTTTTTCTCTTTTCTTTTCTTGAAAGGAGGTAGGGAGTAGGGAGAAGAGCAGTCTGAGGACTGGAAAGACAGTAATATTGTTGAAAACTATGTTGCTCCAACTCTTCTTTTTCTTTGAGTCCCGAGTCCAACACATAATCGAACATGGAAGGGATATGAGCCTCCAAGAACCCTCCAAATAAATAAAAGAACATAGAAAAAAGAAATTGAACATGCCCATGTCATAAAAATGCCTCTATCCAACGTTCACACTGGCATCCAAGTAACATAGGTTGAAAAGTGTCGAGTATCCAAAAGGAGGAAATGGCTTTTCTTATTTTAATTCTCTCCATAGCTTCTTTAACTCTTCTTTAATACTCAAAACCATCTATATTGTAAAGAAAAATTACATTGAAGGTATGTGACTTACTGATTCTAGGGATTCATCAGTTGCTTTCTTCTCCTTCTGAACCAAAGCATAGAGTGGACCAAGCACACTAGTACCGAATATTCCAAGACCATTCAGAAGAGATAAAAAGGGATTAGATGGTGAGTTTCCCTGTGCTTCCTGTCCATGAAAGCTACCTTGTTAAGAATTTTTCGAAACTTAAGTCACAAAATCAAGAAATAAACACAATAAAAGCAAATAGACTTGATACGATAATAAAGTGAGACTCAGACCTCTGCTTTTCGGTTTCCCTCTGGCTTGTTTAGCTCACTTTGTGCCTCATTTTCTAATGAAAAAAAAAGGAAATAAATATTAAAAAAAAGAAAATGAAGAAGGTGAACGATTATTAGACCAACCCTCATAAAAGGAAAACAATAAGCGGATTACTTTGATAGAACATGCATGAGAAATTGAGCACAAAGACTTGTTTTAAAGTTGAAAAGGGAGAGTAACTCGTACACACTTCACTTGAGATTAAACCTCAAGCCAACTAGTACCGAAACTGTGACTTCATACCCAATTTCTCCTTCATATGCAAGGTAACTTGTTCAAATACCAAAAAGAATCACTCAACATTTTACTAAATTCTCAATAAGGGCACCACCTATTACTAAATCTTTGCACTTTTGAACTTCTACTAACCGTAACCGAACAGTCCCAATGTTGTTGTTCCACTACCATTAGGAGGAATGTTTCTTCTCTTTTTCCTGAAAGGCACTGCAATTAAATATTTAACTCGATTGTAATAAAAGCTAAAACAAAATTCTTAACATAATAAGGGGAAATGGGAAAGAAATCAAATAAAAGCAATCAGTGCCTATGCCTTCCCACTAGCAACTGCCATTGGCAGCTCCCTTGTTCCTTCTTATCCACTTTGTCTTTTACTCTTTTCTCTGCCGCTCTCTCCTTGCTATTCCCAGGTTTAAGGAATTTCTGGCTCTTATAATGTAAGATTGATCAATCTAGCTATATCTTATTAAAGACAACAATAAAAGTGCTAAGTTCATTTACTGACATCAGATCAGTTAACAATCATTTTGAACATCAGTTCAAAGTTTGCAACAAACATCAGCAAAATCCTATTGAAATTTCTTCAACAAAACAATCTTGTTCACAGAAAAATGTCTGAAAAGGAATATAAATACGTAAATTATAATAGAGCATCAATCCTAGAAGAAAAAACATTATATATCCGAGCTCTCAATGCACACAACATCTGTTAATGAAATTCAAGTCGAACAAATGACTCAAAATTGATAAAAAGGCAACCCGAATTGATAACCTGACATCTATATCAGATGAAAACCATAAAATAAGGTTGCTTGGATGTATTAAGGAAATGGATAAGATACGACGGGAGCGAATTGATCAGTAAAATAAAACTATTCATCTTATTTCACTGCATGCATAACAAAAAGTATTTCATCTAGAAGTTTTGAAAAATCAAATCATAAATTCAAAAGAACATTACAGGGTCGCATACTCATTCAAGTAAAAGTTTGAAGACAAAATTAGATTAAAAAGAACAAATACTGAATATATTAAAAAGAAAATACGCTTACTTAAGGTGGAGACTTCAATAGCGTTGCCTCTGAGCTGGAGGAGAGGAAGAATGGAAATACCCATGAGAAGAACCGCCCTCCTCTTACTGGAAACGTGGTCGTTTGGGTCTTGATGGGAAAGAGAAGCCATTGGAGGCCTGAAGCTTCTCCTTCTCTTGGACTCTGCATTTCTGAGGTTAAAGTGGAGGGATTGAGAGTTGGACATGGGAGTTTGCAAATAGCAAGAGCTCCCTATCACGAATCCCATTTCTACGATGTTCCCCTTTTTTTTATAACTTACTTTGGGAGAAGCTGGGAATGAGAGAAAGCAGGAAGCTTGCTTGCTCTCTACTTTGCTCTATCTTCATCTTTTCCAATTTTTGTCAATGGAATCTCCCTGAAAGACAAAAATGTCCCTTTTCGTTATGGTAATTACGCGGAAAATCTTTATTTGAGTATATAAAATATTTAAAAAAATCAATTTATTTCTCCGATATTTGCAAACCATATCGCATAAATACTCATTATTATTTAAAATATATGATTGTATGTTTAGAAATAGTGAATTGAACTCCTTAAACTTAATAATATAATAAAAATAGGTTTGAATTTTTCAATTATAATTAATTTAAATAATATATTCATATTTTTATACAAATAAATATTATTAACATTCTTCTAAAATGATGTCAGTTTTATTTTTAATATTTTTATATAAATTTTATAAAAAATATATCAAGATATTATCCGACACTCTTTCATATATGTGACCCCACCACTTATAAATAAAAAATACATTTCAAAATTAATGAATTAATTTGTTTATTATAAAATGAATTCGTTCAATAATAACTATTTCAAAAACAACTCTGGTTGCTTTATTCAATATTACCATGAATTTAAAAGAAAAGAAAAGACTTGAGATGCAGTTAATATATGATAGGGCAAACGGGTAATTCCAAATAGAGATGTAGATCCATACATCCTGGATCAACATTCAACAGCTTTTATACCCAATGCCCGTTTACCACGTGGTGACAACATCTGAAACTTTTTTTATCTTCTTTCTGCTTGTAGGTCATGTTGCCACGTCATTCAACTTATTTATTCATTTATATAAAGAATTCAACGTGCCCTGATATTTTGATTTAAAAAATTCATCAATTTTTGGTTAACACAGTGGACTTAAGTGTACAAAATAAATGCATTCCGTTGCTTGTTATTGCATAGATTGACCATTTCATTTGAAAAGGATAGTCGACTATCAGGTGGGTGCTACCTAAGCAATGATTAGCTAATTATAATTATTTTTTGCCTCACCACCAAATTCAACGGTTCTAGTTCCATGTTGTGCAAAAGCAAAAATCAGAAGAATTATATACCATGTTTTGAATTCATGCCTCGGACCTTGCTCTTTTCTTGGCTCCAAAGCTTCCATGAAATACCCAGAAATCAATATCACTAACCTGAAACAGATTAGCCCCACCGACATCATAGTAAAATTAATCGAACCAATGTCGCATGCATTCAGAATTCAACAACGAGTTCTTCATGTTCAAGAGGTTTGGACAGCAGCTCAAAGAAGACCAACAGCAGCAAAAGTTTTAAAAAGAAAAAGAAAACCGATGAGATGGGGCTAGTCCGGCCTCTACTAACTCGTCTAATCAAAATTATAATGCAACAGTCTACTAAATAATATATCTACCACCGCACAATAGATTAAACCCAATGCTGTGGTATCCATGACTCGTTATTTAGGCGTCGATCATCCATGGCTGCAAATTGATTCACATAAACAGCTCTTTTTTTATGAACAGACGATCATCCAGGTTAAAGTTATCACTCTTGGCATGGATGCCTGCAAAAAGAAATCATACTAATAGTCCATTACATGTTAATGGACATACCCATTGGGAAGAGGTCTTCATCGGTGCTCTGCTCCGGGGAACCGTTGGAGGAATTATTACAAGTTTTCTCCATTTCCTCCTCAGCAAAAATCTCCTCGGAGCGGCAATCGAGACTGCAAAATGCCTTTTTACCTCTGCAGGGCTCAGAAGATAAAACAGTCTCAGCAATTACAAGAAGATGCAACCCGAAGTAACAAGTTGTAAGGGGATTTGAAGAGTACAAACCTGTACATGTAAATGTCTTCGTCTTTCTCTAGCTTTTTCTTGCAAGTGTAACAGAAGCTCCAATACTCATCAGAGGCATAAAGTGCTGAAGTCTCTTTGCTGTTACCTGGTGTAGGCACTTTGGTACAAGGTTCAGCTTTTTTGTCAAAAATGGTTAACTCGTTGTTGTGACATTCCAAAATACAGTCACCGAAAACATGAGTCGTTTTAGGGTTCGGACCGTGAGAAATTATACATGTATAATCCTCAGAAAGCTCTATCTCATGTGCAGAAAGAGACACCATGCTATGGCTAAAGAGTATAGGAAGTGAACTTGGTTTACTTACCCAAGAATTATCTACTTGCAAAGGCCTGCCAATTGGAAGAGGTGAACTACTAGTGTTGATGGTTCCACTGTCTGAACAAAAACTTATGGAACTTAAATTCGGGTTTTCAGTAGAGGAAATAAAAGAAGGGGAAAGCCCAGGATCCGGTTTTGCTACCAGTACTTCCTCATTTCCAAAGCCAAGACTAGAAACTGTCGACTTGGTATTGGATTTTCCGTCTTGGAAAAGCTGTGAGACTATGTAATTCCTAGGCAGAGAATTGGATTTCATAGAATTACCAAGGAATTCATGGGAATACCTATAGGAAGAAGGAAATTTTGCCTTCACCTGTGGTCCAAATATTATGTTCTTTCTCGGAGAATCAAGGTCTCCACCGTCCAGTTTAATGTCACCAGCAAGCAAATTCACAATGCCCAAACCCATCTTACTGCAATCCCACTTCTTTTGACAACCACTTTGAGATGGTGATCTATGAGACCTTGAACCAAATGGGTTGCTAAAATTTGCAAAAACTCTCAAATCAAGAGGAGATGTAGGGCTTCTTACCGAATCATAATCCAAAGGAGCCTTAGTGCTAAATCCAACAAGGAAACCAGGAATATTGAAAAGTGAGTTTCTTATGCGCCTTAAACCCAATGTAGAGGACTCTGAATCAGGATCAGCCATCGGATTACCATCCATTGAACTTGCTTATAAAGTATGTTTTCTTACACTGCATTATCTATAAAACCTCAACCTTTTAGCAAGAAAACCAGCAACTCCTTACTGCATTAGAATCAAGAATCCATCAATATAAAACAAATGCCAACAATAACGATAATGAAACAAGTACCATGTATGGTGATACCTTTGGAATATACATACACACACACATCGATTTATCTACCCAATGGCAATATCAAATAGTGACAGAAGTGGAAGCCTAATTAATATACAGAGGGAAAACAAAAACAAGTGCCCACATGATTATATTATATCGAAACACAAAAGAAAACCCAAAATCATTATTCATGAGCACCTTTGAAAGCTCCATGGCAAATAAACAGAACAGTATCATAACAATTTTATAACAAAAGCAAAGTTTAGCCCTCCCCTATAGCAAAAAATAAAAACAATACAAGATCCTTGAATCACATCAACTATGTAAGATGGGGGTGAAGAGATCACTTGAAAATGTCAATAAAGCTCTAAAAACTCTTCATCTAAAGATGTTTTCAAGAACCGATGAAGAATCTAATGAAGGAAATGAGACCCCGGACTTTTTTAACATGATAAGGTAAATCAAAATCAACAACAAGGGGCAATCCATCTATACTTGATATGCAACAATGAACTATATGAATATACAAACGAAAGAAACAACAAAGCCCATCTTTAATTTACATTCAGCTCTATATAGATGCAGATATAAATGAGGCTGGCATAGATTTTGATGATCAACATTAACGAAACCCCATATTATCATTAGCAGAAAATCTACCAGATTCCTAAAACTAGACAGATTCGAGGACCTTTCAAGCAAGATGACTGGGAGCACATGAAAAAAAAGGAGGGAAATGAAGAAGAAACTCAAACAAAAAGCTTTGATCAAAACAAGTTGCAAACTTTACCCAAAAATGCATCAAATGGGTACTCAAAGGATGGATAAAGCAATAATATTTAACCCAATAAAACCTAGCATGCATCAAAATCAGCAGAAACATCATCAGAGATTCAGATTCAGAATCAAACTTAAAACATGACGGAGTAAAGGGGGAAAACCTTGAAAATCAAACTGATTGCAAATAAAGATCCAATCTTTTATACACCCAGATGCTAAAAAATGCAGACTGATCAATAAATAAAATTAAAAGAGCTACAAATTTTACTAGATGGCAAAAAAAAAACACCACCTGGCTTTCTTCTATTGAAACCGGAAAGGAGAGAGATAAAAACAGAAAACCCAAAATGCAGAAAGAGATGTCATTTGGGCTTAGCAAAAAACATAAACTCTCTCTATATAATTTTTTCTGCCATTTGTTGGGTTTGGTTTTTTTTAAAGATTTTTAGTTTATTTCTTATTGCTTCGTCTTCAATGCATCAAAATCAGAGAAACAGTGTACCACTGAGGCTTCTGATATACTCTTTTCCTTCTCCTCTCTAATCATTAAGAATGAAATACGTATTTTATACGGTATTTGTTGTTTGTAGAAAACAGCTTCTACTGAATACTTTCTTTGTGAGCGAGACTGCTGTTGATACCCTGGTAAAATCTTTTGGGTAAACAACTCCAAGGTCACTACAGTATTAGTCCAAATCTACTTTGATCACTAAGGGTAACTTTCGCGTAATTTTCGAAAAGTTACTTTTAAAAGTATTGTAGAAACGATTTTTTAAAAAGTGTTGTATAAAAGTATAATTTAAAATTTAATTATTTAGAATTATTGTTAAAAGTGTGTTTGAAAATATAAATTATTCATTATATATATTATGTTGTAAATTAAAAATATAACATTTAAATTATATTTACACTACTTAATACTATGATATATAAAATATATCAACTTAAATTATAATAATAATATAAAAAATATTTTAAGATAGCTAATTAGTAATATTTTTATATATGAAATATTTTATTAAGAAAAAATATATTATAATACTTTTAACATGTGTAAATTAACTTTGCTATAAACTATTCACCTTAGCCTGAGCTGATTCGGTACCCTTCAGCGTAGACTAAGACATCCAGAAAAGAAATTCCCATCAACTATACTATAAACTATAACAATTTAACATCACTGTTGGGAGTAAATTAATAACATGTGTAAATAATAAGGGTCAAATATGTTGATAAACAAATTTAATTAACTATCCTATCGTCAATTCTGTTAATAATCAACGCCCATTGACTTTATTGAAAGTAAATTAAAAGTTTAATGATATAATTGATAAAATGTTTAGTTCATTAATCTAAACATGATCAAGTTCGTAGTTTAGTGACTTCGGGATAGTTTACCCATATCCCTCTTTAAGGCCTGGTAGAAATTTACCCATACGCGGTAACTAAGATTGATTAATATATTATAAATAGATAAATGGTTTTTTAACTAATTATTCAGGGCCTTTCTAGTTTATAATCAAATTACCCAATTGTAAGAACAATATCGTTCATAAACAGTGAATATTCCTGTTTTAGAGCTGAAGACGAAAGGAAGAAGAGTTCTCTTTTGTTTCAAGTAGCCACGCCTGATGTACGCGGCAATTGTTCTCCAGTTGATCCGCCCCACGTTTTTGCTTTTATTCTCCTCTCCTATCCTCTCCTTCCATCCTATCTTTTTCTTGTTATTTCTTTTCTAAAATATTTGTATTTATATATTTTTTATAAATTATATTTGAAATATTTTATGTTTGTATATAATATAATAATTTAGATTAAATAAATTGGTTAGAAATGATAATAAGTAAATATATGTAATTTCTGAATTATTTGAATTTAATTATAGACTATCTTAATATAATTATATAAATTCAAATTAAATAAAAAACTATATATCTTCTCGCTTCTCAACACAATTTCCATGACCTCGTTCCGCTTATTCATCTATTTATATTATTTTTCATATTGAATAGCATCATGTATCTTATTAAAATTATTTTCTACACCACATATGATATAATTGTATATTAGATATGAAATTATGATTATATATTGAACTAGCATTTGAAAGAGTACATTACTTTTTTACCCTTTTAATAGTGTAATCAACACACACGTGAAAAAAGTGAACAACACAAAGCTGAACATAAATGTATTGTCAATGCCGATGTGGTTTTATCTGTTGCGTTTAACGACGTTAGTCGATAAGGACTAGGAGGGCAACCTAAAGACCTGTTTGCTTTAAATTTCCCAAACCGTCGGTGTTTAAGTATTTTGCGTTCTACTAACGCTTTAATACATAGTTAAAAAAAGACGTTATCAATAATATTATTATTTTTTAAATAAAATCAATAAAAATTATGGAAATATTATTATTTCTACCTAAAATATTAATATTTAACATTTCCGGTAAAATGCCCAATAATAACAAAATCGGTAAAAAAAATAACAAAAGTGATAATGTTTTACCAAACCCGGTAAAACGCTAATAATAATAAACCGGTAGAAATAATAATGTTTTCAGTAATTTTTATTGATTTTGTTAAAAAATAATAACAAAACTAATAATATCTATTTTAATCGTATATTAAGACTACAACAAGTAATTATTTTTTGTATTTTGGTGACACAGCCAAATTCGCTTATAGATTGTTCCAAACATGGTATAACTGGTCAAGGGACCATAACGTACACGACTACTTGTTTCTTATACAGTTTGTTTATAGGTACGTATTTCTCACGAAATATAATCCTTATTTCTCGTGTTTATTTTATATTTTCAAAATAAAAAATAGTCTTTTAAATGATCCATCTTTTTAAAAAATTAGAATGAAACAAAGTAATTAAGTAAATATAGTAATTAGAATTGTTCTAATAAAATGAGATATTAAAATTTTTAAATAAAATCATAATTCAAGGTTTTGATATTATAAATAAAAAAAATAAATTAATTTTTTTGTTATTCTAATAAATATTTATAATACTTGATTTAAATTAATAAATTAATAAATAAAAAACCAATGATTAAATTATAAAAATTATATAAAATAATAATAGTATATATAAATAATATTTTATGTCATCTTTTGAAAATACAAAAATAGTTTTTCAATTATAAAATTAAAAGGGATTTATCTTTTCAAAATATGCGACTCCTTTGACTTGAAAGTGGTAAATTGAAAATTACGAAAAAGATTTTAATTTTAGAATCACGTAAATCTCACTTAAAATACATTAGTTCAACAAAACATTTTTGCTGCGTTTACACAGCCAGAGATGGTAAATAATTTATTACAGTGTACGAAGTTTGAAAACTTCGGGTTTGACACATCATTTGTGGTGGACCCAAACAATAAATTAAACGGCGTCAAATAATGCCGTCAAAACTCTATGATTTAGTGGGTCCGAAAAAAGTGGACCCCACTAAACAAGACCTCGCTCCTAGTAATGATTCCTCAGGGTCACGTACTTCTTTAATTTACGGTTCCGTTTTGTCGTTTAGCTTGACTCTGATTTTCTTTATATATACGTGAAACATAATAATTCATTGAAATAATTAATTACCACAAATAATGACAATAATATATACAAAAGAGCGACTCCAATTGTGTTCCTTTTATGTGTAAAACCTCATGCAATCCAACGGCTGAAATATGAAGATTCTCTGGGGAAAGTCAGATGAAAAGGGCATAGTTAACTGCTCCCCTAAGTGAGGCCCACCATACGTGTCACGCAGTGCCTGAAATTCTTTTGTTTGTTTGTGGCGCACGACACCGTAACGACATTGGGATGCCCGGAGTTGCATCACGCGCTTTCCGTTTTAATATTATTTTTTAAAATTTGCTAACTTTTGGAGGAGAAATGGTCAAAAGTTATTTGAAAATCAAATATATTATACTTCTTCTCTTCTTCTTCTTCCTTACATTTGAATCAAATCCGGATTCTAAAAACTGAAGTGGTCTCCGTAAGTCCTACATGATAGCTTTCTTCCATTCTATACGAGCCTTCTATAAGTGTTACAGTATCGAGTATATTAAATCTTAGATTTTTTTGATTTTTTTAATAGTGTAAAATGATTATAAAATAAAATTTATTTAATTTTTTAACATTTAATAGCGTATATACATCTTACACATAATATTATAAAAATCATTCTCTTTTAATCTTTTATCACTATCAGAAAAGCCTACCGTATGAGTAAGGATGTGCACGACCCGAAATCGATAGATTCTTATTCGATCAAGTCTTTTTGTAGGGTAAAATATAGTAATGGTCATTGAATTTTTTTAAAACTTTCATTTAGGTTCCTAACTTTTAAAACTTATAATACAATCCCCTAACATTTAGTTTATTTGTAATATGGTCCCTCAATATTTAGTTCGCTTGCAATATGGTCCTCGATGTAACTGTTGGGAGACCATATTGAAAACGAACTAAATGTTGTGGATTGTATTGAAATTTGTAAAAGTTGGGGTAACTAAATGAATGATTTAGAAAAGTTAAGTGACCATTATTATACTTTACCCAAAAAAATTCCGTTTCGGTTGTACCGCCTCCCTCTCCCCTGTCGTTACTCTGGTTTTCCTTTGCTTATACACTGTTGCTCAACTCCGCCCTTTGTTTTTCAATATTTCCTTCAAAACACCATCTTTTATATTCGATAAAGTTCCAGTCTTCTCCCTTCGATTCACCAAAGCACAACCGATTCTCTCCTTTCCTTTCTGGGTTTTCTTCTTTGCTCTGTTTTGCTTCGTTTTTGATAGAAAAAGAAAACAATTTCAAGGATTATTTTTTGTTGTTTCTTTCTCCCAGGATCACTAAAATGGCTTGAGTTTCGGTTGATCCTGCAAATAACCGCATTTCGATTTAATAAATAAACAACAGTTAAAACTTCACAGTAAAACCTTACTTTCTCTTAGTTTTGGTAACTCCTTTAGCCTTACCATACGCTCCACCACCTTTGTCTCTAAATTTTTTTATTTATTTAAACAAAAAATATAGGTAATTCTGGGTTTCTAGCATCAATATTATTACCCACATTCCTTTGTGTTCATCTCCTCTCTGGTGGATCTGTTAGTGGTCTTGGTGTGAACTGGGGCACAATGGCGACCCATAAATTGCCTTCAGAAACAGTGGTTCAGAAGTTGAAAGACAATGGTGAAGCTTTTCGATGCGGATTCAAAGACTATGGATGCTCTTGCAGGGAGTGATCTTGAAGTAATGGTCGCCATTCCCAACGATCAGCTTCTTGCTATGAGTAGTTATGATAGTGCTAAACAATGGGTCAAGAAGAATATCACCACATATAACTTCAAAGGAGGTGTTAACATTAAGTAAGTTCATTCTTCTAACTTTTCTAATGTTTTTTTTTTTAGGTTTTGATTTATTTGTGTTGACACTATTTTTAAGATGAGAAAATCGCTCAGTGACAAAAAATGCCTTATAATATACGATTTTAACCAACTTTTTTTAGATTTGCCAAAATGACCAACAAAATCGCAATGCG